AACCTTTGGATTTCATACATATACTTCGGTTTTTAAAAATTAAATACAGTAGACGATTTTGCGGTTTCAACTATTTTAATATTTTTAAATATTAGTTTTTCACTTGTTTTTGGAGCAAGATTTTTATAAAATATATGGTGTAAATCTATAGATTAAATTTCATATACATACATTTCAATAAATTAATAATTAATGCATGTTTATAAACACTTTTGCAGATAATGCCCGATTTCAAAAGTATTTATCTACATTCATAGTTATAAATACTCTGAAAAAAGGCATTATCTCCATTTTGGCCCCCTTAATAATAAAATTAACCAATGAAAAGTATGTGGCAAATTTTTTAATAATATATCTAAACAAACCATAGTTTAACAAATTTGAAATCATATGTACTTTTCTTGGGAAAAACTCAAACGCGTTTTGCTCATTTACTCAAAACTATGATTTTGTTACTTAATGCCTTTTCTCAGAGCAGGGCAGTAGAGGTATCCTCAACTTTTATTGGTTTCTTGAATATCCCACAAGTGACATGATAATGATTCATCCTGAGAAAATTAAGTTGATTACTTGTGCTTAGCTACAGTATAGTAATTGTTTTGTGAGCTAAATAAAATCTGAGGTAAAAACATGTCCAACAATTTATACTACCGGGACATACTGTACAGTAGGCCTGCATTAAACTACTGCCTATTAAAAGTGATTGGAATTGGCAAGTACAGTATATTTCATTTATTTTTTGCCTAAACAGTTCCTATACAGTAGTAAGAATTTTTTTTTTAAACCTATTCTGCCAGAATATTTTTCTATGAAAATCATTATTTTAAGTCAACACCCACACTGTGGGTGCAATTAATTCCTAAATAATAATAAATACTAATAATGTTCAATATGATATAGCGCCTGTTGCTAGACGTCTCTAAGTGCATTACAGAACTTATGCACAATTTAATCCCCTTTATAAAATGTGCAGGATTTGGACATGTGGACAGATACAAATTGATTATGATACAAGATAAAAAAAAATTCGACAAAGAAAATAATATGGGGTGTTTCCATAGTGGAAAGGAAAGTGACAATTTTAGCCAATTAGACTTTACAGGGTCTGTATTTTACAGACACCATAGATTTACCATCAACTTTATATAAATCCAAACGCTGGAAATCTATCCCATTGTTAGCACGAAACACATGCCACTGATCTGCTATTTCCACCTCATATGCATGAAAGTGATGATTAAAATGTTTCGTCGTGTATACCTTAGTACAAATATACCATTCAGTATTAACTCGGAACACATACTTCACGCCACCAAATACAGAAATATCTTCTGCATGAACAATATCCAAAATAACAATATCACCAACTGAATAGGTCACTGCTTCAACCGTTACAGACTTTGTTTTCCAGAACAAGGTTTAATATTTCATCTCTCTGTTCACCTTCAAGTACACATTCATTGAGACTATCCTGTAACTTCAAAGGTAACTTCTCAACTTGTATTTCTTTACAATCGTAAAGTGTACCTTCATTGTAAAGCATTGATTCTGCAGAAAAAAACCAGCATTGTAAATATTGATGCCTTGATGACAATGAAGATGCCACATTTTTGAAATTTCTCACAACAGCAGCCAATCTTTTGAAATACTGGTGTTTTGCCTCAAATCTCATACACCAAAAATTACGCAGCGGTCCAAATTCTCGCATTAGCCTAGGATAGTGTAGCAAATAATGCATCTTGCATGGGAATTTGTTTGGTGAAAACTGGGCAAACAATTCATTATGATCAATTATCAATCTCTTCAAGAATGGCAGCCAAGATGTTCTTACAATTGGTGCTAAACAGATGTCAGTTATTTCTCTGAGGAGAAGGTACAGTTCCTATCATGACATCATGACATGTTGTTACGCCTGCGCGTAATAATTTACTATGCCGCCACGTGCGAACTGGTTATCGGTGGGAGACAACAACATGAGATCGTGACAGTCCATACTATTTTTTACCACTGGATCTTCATGTATTATTATATACTATATCTTTTATCGAGAAAGAATATACACAGTTGTTGAATATATATGCTATGCTATACTGTACTATACCATTTTATACAGTAGAACACTATGCTATAACTGCATTGTAAGACAGCATAATAAAGTGATTTGATGCTAAACACCTGCGGTATTTATGGTCATAGTTCATTGCAACAACGTGTTTACGATCTCATTCTCCGAATTTCAACAATTCCCAACAGTTCCCAAATGTCATTTCCCTCTGGGACAAATGGTCCAATTATGAATGCAAGTACACGAAGCAAGCACCATTTCTGTGATGCTGAACCAGCAATATTTGCATTTTTCCTGAGAGTGTTAACTGATATAGCAACTGGTTTCTTTCCCATATCGTTTTTCCCATATTGGAAAGCCTTCATTTTTTTGTGGACATGCTCATAAGTGAATAAACCCTCACTAACTAAATGTCTTAAAACTAACATTACAACAGCAGGAATAATTCCTTCCAAAAGGTCATGCATTATGTCAGGTGGAAGACATTTAGTCACATCGAAATGCAGTAATTCATCAAATGAACATGGACTATTAACACCATATATGGAGGAATTGTTTTCATTGGCAGCAATAGCATCAAGTGAACTTCACTTGTCCTTGGTACAAAGTAAGTTTCATCAAAATGGAGATTAATTTCCTCTTTTCTAGCCATGCAGAAACGACAAATGCGTCCGGCAGTAAAGTTAGAAGGAAAGCCACCAATAGAATGGCTTGACAAATTATCAGCACTTATAGCTATCACTGAACCTAAACGATGATATTGATGTCCATTAACATTAAAGGAAATGCCCTCAGTCTCCAATATTTTAAGGTCAGAGAGGAGTGGCTGGAAGATGTCCTTGTATGCATACTGTTGTACATATTTGTATCTGATCAAGAGGGCAAGATGAATATTCTTTAAAGTACTTCTGTACTTGGGTTCCACATTCTCTACTACATAATAAAATGCTAGTAATTTAAGTGTTTTCCCCTCTTGGCCCCCAAAGGATTCACTACCTCAAACTCATCAACATATAACAATATCCTCAATGCATCAGGATTATGGTGAAAAAAATAATTATTGGAACAATTAGTACCACATGTATATCCAACCAATAACTCAGGATTTATTTTTTCTTGTTGCACTTGATGCATGCTGGTCCAAACATCATTTTGAGCCAGATATTTTTTCAGTACCTCCAAAATAGGAACATATTGATAAGTATGCTTAACTTTCTTTCCATTCAAAATTTCTTCTCCAAGGACATATTCTTGTGACTCAATCATTGCCAAATCTGATATACAATATTTCTTCAGCATGTATTCAGATCTCAATAAGTTAAATGACAAGTGAATATTATCCATAACTTCAGCATTATGGTCATCATTATTTAGAAAAATGGATGTTAGAGACTTTACATTATCAAAAATGTCATGTACAGTAGATTTTGAGAGGATATGACATTCTCTTGTTTTCAGTATGAACATTGTTAGATGCTTTTGGAATACTTCAGAACTTGCTAGACCTATATCACCAGGCCCAATGGCATCATCATCTTCACCAAGCTCCATTTCAAAATCTGCATCAAGTACTTCCCCCTCAACATCATCATCAGGTACATGAGGTTCCCATCTAGTCCTAGCAAATTTCTATGTTTCCGATAAAGATGACTACGATAGGAAGAAAACTTTACAAAACTACAGCCACAATTTCTAAAGTTACATGTCACATGTAAATTGGGATTATTTTTATGAATTAAACTGATGTGCTGGAGTAATCGATTGATATCATTCACCTTACGACCACATACTGAGCACATGAATATACCAATATTTCGAGCATGAGCTTGACCATCCATTTTAACTTAATTTAATAACATGGTAGTAAGAATTTAGTTTAGGCTAGGCCTAGGCCCATGCTCTCTACCTCTGCACGTCTGTTTAGGCTAGACCAGGGCCCCTGTTTTAGTAAGTACATGTAGTCTTCTTAGGCTGGCCTAGCCTAGTTACTGTACCGTGTGAGTAGGCCTAAGCCTAGGCTAGCATCAAGCAGCGCCAGTAGGCTAGATTAGACTTAAATGAAATTACACACACGGTAGTCTACAGTTATAACGTTTATTCAGCAAGAACCCAACACATGTAAATATCGACCAACAATGGCTGACTCCGGTGCCCCGGGAGAGGGCGCACTATTGTTT